GCTCGATTATCGACACAAAAATAGTGGCGCGCCCATCTAGATCATTATATCATATTTATCAATCGGTAAATAGTGCTATATTTTCTCCGCCTTTCGGCACTCGATTTTACCTGAGCGCACCCGAAATTAATGGACGACCGCACACGTCGTCAGAAATCCGATTGCCTCGAACACGTCACGTATCTCGGTCAGAGGCAAGACTCGCAGTGTATGCGATAAAAAACAACCCTAATAAATTATAATATGTATTTATATATGTACAGTATACTACATATCTAATATAAGTACATACTACGACAATTACGATGAACGTGTGTGAGATAAAAAATAACTACCCTTAAAATTATAATATGTACAATATACAACATATTATATACTATAGGTAGGAACAATCGTCTACGATAGTTACGATGAACGTGTGTGTGATTTTGGTCGTGCGAATGACGATTTTATTTGAGATGAGTTCGGGTGACAATTGCTGCAGGTGACTGCCACAAAATATGATATTCACAAAAATATTTTATGGACACAATACAAAGGATTCTTCAAATATTTTATTTATAGTCGCGGACTTTTTGCCACCCTCAAGAACTGTGTCCGGTCTTTTTGTCTGATTTTTTTCAAATTATTTTTTTTGTCCCTGGGCTTCTTCGGCTGATTGCCGTGAATAATTGATGTGATAATATACGAGGGTCTTACCTTGACGTGCTGCCCTTTGTAATCCTTGGAAAACGGCCGATGTCGAAAGACATGAAAAAATTATGAGACAAGCAAATAAAGATCCATTTTAATTTCGTCAACCTAAATGCATTCAATGACTTAAAAACGGGTTAATCGGAATCGGTTTGCGGAAGTGGCAAAAAAGATAACAAGCTGCACCAACAAAAGTGAGTTTAACACTGTCTGACGCCGACGAAAAATATCTCGCTGTTACCCGCTCGTGAACGTAACGTAACTCCCTGTGGACTGCGGTCTCAAAATGTATACCATAGTCATTCCGTTAAAGTTTGTACCAGGGTCTTGGTGAACGTCATACATTATGATTTATGTTAAGCTTAGTTTTGACTTTTAACTGCACACTATATAATATATACACAAATTATGGACGATAGAGTCCCAGCTGATATTACATAGATAATCAACTCTAGATTGATAACTCACGATAATAGGCCAATTGAATACGTGCCATTTTATTGGGAACAACGGATTTTATCACTAAACATTTAGCGCTATTACTTATTAATTATTATCAACATAAGCCTTTTATATGTACTACGGTGACCGTCGACCGTTTTCTTCGCGTCTGATCTCAACGATTCCCAAATCGTTTTCCCGTCGCCGTTCACGAGTGCGCATAACATTCCGGTGAAACGCGAATATTGTATAATAAATAATAATTATTGCGATAATCGTCAATTCAGTTCCGACGAAACGCGTCACCTGTTTTCCAAGGACTATGAACCTATACGGCAGGCGTCAGGGTATTACGTATATCAGTCACCTATAATAATAATATTATGTTCGAGTATATGTTGTGTGTGTATTATTCGCATGCTTCTCGTACAAGGCCGTCTCCACGGCCGTAATTTAGAATTTTTTGTAACACCACATAATATAATATTATGCAGTATTTATTTAGGTGTTACAATAATATATACCTATGATATTAGGTTGGTCAAATCCAAATAAAACTTAAGTAAAATAAAGAAAAGTTTTCGACACAAAGAAAGTCTTTGAATGCCGTAAAATGTATATTTTTAAAAATGGTCTTTAGACGTCAATCATAATTAATAATAATATATAGGTACTTACTTAAAAAGTTAAAAATTAAAAAAAACATTAGAATTAGAATAATTATTTAATTTAAACATAAACATGGTTTACTCTGGATAGGCGTAAGTATTGTAAACAGATATCAGAGATGTATTTAAAGGGTGCAAGGGCGAAGCGAGAAATCGGCCAGAAAAGAATCTATGTTTATTGGCATATATTTTATGTTTATACATTTTTCTATTGAATATTGTACTATCGCACCGTACCTGGCGTTCTATTGAACCAATTTTATAAATCCTATTATAACCATATTATTGTTGCTGCTGTTTATGTTGTACAGCCATGGTATTTTAATTAATAAACAAAATTGGTAAATAAAAACATATTGTATTTTTCTGGGAATATTATTTATTTTTATTTATTTCGTTATTATTATATGTATATCGAACCTTAAAAGCAGTGTCCTTTGCTCCCGAGGGCTGAAATCGCGTCCTCAGATAGTATTTTATAGGTATGTCTTTATTTTTCAGTGTTAAATTTGTTTTTCCTATTTATGTATCAAGTATACAATCATTTTATATAGTCGACAATTTACATTTATGAGGATAAGCGGGGGAGGATTTAGCTAGAAAAATTATCACTCGGGCAAATAATTCTTAGTGTGTTTTGGTTTAGATGTAGAAGGCAGCGGCAATATTTATGTATATAATAAGAATATATTATATTTTAGTGGTCAACACCAATAATGCGTGTACAAATCGCCGACAGACTAGTTGACTTTCACGTCGGTTGAGCACGCCAAAATGGTATTATGTTTACAATAAATTACATCATCCTGCAGTGACGGCGGCTGTGCCTCTGCAGTCTGAAATTAAAGTGCGAGTCAATGCCGGCTTAAAAACCACAGACTTATTTAATATAGGTACCTAAGTGAAATGTTAACTTTTCACGTATAATATGATATTAATTTTCATAAACGTGCTTAGTCCATTATAATGCGTAAGTCACCGAAAATTGGAAAAATCAAAGGTGAATTAATAAATGGTTTAAAAACAAACTGTATCTCATAAAGAGATCGCGTTTCGCCGGTATCACACGAGTGAAAATATACGATGTTTTTGGTCATTGGCCGCCCCGCGTAACATAATATCGTGTCGCAGCCGCCGCCGCCGCGGAAACGTCCAAAAATAGTCGTTAACGATTCCTAGCTCCTCCGGCGCACCGCGGCGCATCGAGATGACGCGAAAACCCGAGCCGCAGAGTCGTGACCGTTGAAATCGGTATTATATTATCATTATAATATACACCCACGATAATACGTTGTATTATATTTTCTATCGATATAAATCATGCGATGTTTAGAGTTCAAACCCATCTCACGTGAGTTTTTAAATTTCTAATCCTAATGATTCTGCCAGACGATTACCGCGACGACGACGTGAACTGATAGAACGGTGAAAAATCGTAGTATTTGATCGAGGAAAATGCGATAGTGCTGGAAACACCCCATACAGTGTAAATAAAAAACGAAAAACCATACAACTACCGCAGAATTATATTTTTTAATATTAAAATATATTGCACAGATCTCTGGCCGTGTGTACTGCGCGTATATCACGCGTGCGTAAAGTGGGCACTCGTGAGCGATTTCGTAGTCGGAAAACCTACTGACTCATATTATCGCAGAGACAGACGGAGGAGATAGAGAGAGACACATAGAGAGTGAGTGAGAAAAAGAGAGAGAGTAAGAAATACTTGGAGATATATAGAGAGAGAGAGAGATGGTGTGATAGGTAGAGTGAAAAAGCGATAGAGATAAAACAAGAGAGCGATAGAGATAAAGCGAGCGAGACAAGGCGGCCGGAGTCGACGTCGCCGCCGCCGCCGTACAGCCGTCCGAAAATAGACGATTTGGCCGCGTTCCACGCGGGAACGTATATACGAACGGCGTTCCGCGCGGCGGTAAAAACGGCGGATTATAATATTATATTCGTTTACTTGTAGAATATTAGTATATTATGCCTAATCGGTGTATTGGTCAATTAACGTGCAGGTTAAGATGGACACTTTGCAGTGAGATGTTGACCAATAGTTATGTAGACGTATATGTTTCACAATTTTTTAAGAGACTTTTGTTGTTTTAGTAGGTGAGTAGATGAGATTTTGTAAAACACTTTTTGATACGACAAAACTTACGGGTCTATAAGCCGGAAATCGGAAATGTATGATTGTAAGTTCCGAGACACCTAAAAAATCATCACTATACTCATTTCTAACTCACGGTGCAACATATAGAAAATATGTGTACAAAGCAGAACCAGTCTTATGATGTTGGCTTTATTTTATTAAGAGTGAATATTACCCCATCATTAAACTTCAAATTATGTAAACATTATGCGTGCACTGTTTGTACTTGAGCATTATTAAACCGTATTATTTTATTTAACTGAAAGATTGTATAAATGCAAATGCACAAGCATAAATGATGTTAAGTTTGATAATAGTTCAATTCATTGATGCCTATGGCTTGAATTCAAATTGTCCTCAGGGCATAGTGCGCTGACATCCTCTTGACTCATGTAGGTACAATTCATTTTGGATGAAGATAAGGTACACCATTTTTGTATATAGACACAAATATTTCTTATAATATAATATAGGTACCACTAAAAACCGTGAGGCCAAGAGCGGTTACACTACTCCTGCACGCCAATCTTGCCGGCGCTGAGCCATTTTAATGCTGATCACTAACCTTTTGGTCATAAATATGTCAAATACTGAAGCCTCTGCGAGTGCGGCATATTCGGTGAAAATGTAATAACGTCAGTGGAACACAATAAAGTCTATATATACATGAGCGTATTTATAGGCGGAGGCCTATAAGGTTTAGAACGGCAACATTTTGGGGGTGGCAAATTTTGGCAAAATAGTTCACTCAAATATCAAGGCGAAGCTTCCAAATTTGATTATGTACAAGTTATTCAGTAAAAAATAAAATGAATAGTAAATTGTTCTTTTTTTTGTAGCAGACGACTACATGTTATTACATTAATTTCATAAGTTCATACTATACATTTTACTAGGGATTGAACTGTTCACCGTGTGATTTGAGAATAGTGTCTACTATAATATAAGGTGGAAAAACTCGAAATTACGCCTCTGCAGCGAGTTGCATAGATACCACGAAATAAAGACTATGATGATAAAGGCAATGGAATGGTACTCACCGCAGTCCCTGCACAACACTTTTTGCACGGCGTCCACGTTCTTGGGCGTCCTTAGCACGGGTTCGCCGAGCACGGACAGGTTATGCGGCCCGACGCCGGCCACAAACACCAGGTACTTGGCACCGCGTTTGATGTTGGCCTCGACGGTCTGACCACCGGCGGCCGGCGCGAACCGCTGCACACACTGTGCTTCCGCTCGGCGCTGGAGCGGCGGCCTCCGCTGCGGTGGGTCGCGGTCGCCGCGCTTCTCGCGAAAGTTGAGTCGCACCGGACTGCCGACCCGCAGTCTCTCGTACGTGACCGCTTGCATGGCGTCCTTGTGCACGCGCTGTACCACAAACGTGACGCCGTACGTACCGTCTCCGGGCCGTACCGGGCCCTTGGACCGGACCTTGCCCTCGAACACCACGTCGGACGCGTATGCCCGAGCTGACACGTCGTTGGTCTCGTCGCCCAGGTGGGCGCACGGCGCCATCCGGCCCGCCGCCACTGACGCAGCTGCTGCAGCCGCACTACCGCCGCCAGCCGTCGATACGGCCGCGGCCGAGTGCAGCGCTTCGACCCCGCGGCCGCCTACGATCACGGCCAGCACGAACGCCGTCGTCCACACGGCCAGAACGGACGGCGACGGAGACGAGGACGACGCCGCCCGACGACGGCGACGGCGACGGCCACACGCGCAAACTGCACCTGCTGCGCCGTCTCCACCATTCGACATGTCGCGCGTATCACCACCACCGGCCCACTTCTTGGTACGGATTGTGTCGGTCGTCATACGGGTCAGTCATCGTGGCAGTGTAGTTGTAGGGGGGTAGGTAGTATTTGGGGTATTTTTGGGGTGGCGCGAAGTGGTCGTGGGCACTGTATGTATCGTAAGCTACGGTTTAGAAATAACAAGAACGAAAAAAAAACGTAACGAATAATTCAACACTAAAACCACGCAAAAGTCACACTGCACATAATATTATGAATGATGGGTAGATTTATTATTATTGAAGTCGTCGTAGATGTTCTTGTTGTTATACTTTTGCGAACGAAACGTTCTGTTAGGTAGTGTCCATCGTGGTCGCACAAGTCCCAGATAGACGATGTATTATTTTATATGGATTATTATTTTTTCACCCGCGTTTTGCAAAACGACAAAAATTATTTAACAGTCGTCGTGACCGATCAGTAATTTTTCATTAAAAACACAAACGGAATAAAAAATTTAAAAAAATTATCTAAAAAACGCGATTATTTAATAATAAATTTTTATTTGCGAGAAAAAAATGAATGTCTTCCAACAAACGAAATTCAAACGGAACGGAATATTTTTCTAAACACCAATCGGTTTCACACTCGACTCGCACGCGTTAACGGTAATGTGACGACTGGCGGCGGGGCACATCGCATGATATACGCGCGCACGTGGGGTAAGTCGTCCGAGCACCGGTGCACTCTTACGCCCCGATTACGAATAGCACACTGCGAGAGGTCGCGCGCCGCCGTCGTCGTAGTCGCTGCCGCCGCCGCCGTCGCTCATTGGTCAGTGCCATCTGACGGACGACCGCCTGGACGTTTACGTTATTAATTATTTTATTTATTACGCGCGCGCGCGCGCGCGCATTCACTCTCACACACACACACACACACAGATACGTAATAATATTATATGTCATATGCAAAAATTATATATATATATATATATACATTGTATTTATGCCTAAGATAATATAAGTGTAGGTATATAATATTATACGGGGTGATCGATTTAACGTAAAACTCCACTCGTATAATTTCAAAAAACACTAATATTTTTGAAAATATTTCTACAACATAATTTCAAATCGGATAAAAACTTAAAAATATAAACAACTTTATATTTATACCCCTTTGAATCAAAACTTACATTTTTTTATTTCACATTCCGAAGCAATAGGTATATTATCATTATTTCGATCTATAAAAATCAAATTGTGGACCAGCAGATTATCAGTTATACATAATATTTGAAGTTTAGACAAGCATAGAAGTCGACAAGCATAGAAGTCGACAAGCATTTTGAGGGGTACTCTTGTCAGATAACACCACTTCACTTGTATACAATTTAAATTCATTGGCCTTTAGGTATAACTCATTAACTACATTCTCGTCCAAAATTTGAAAGTTGTATACATCGAAGTATTCACTTGAAAAAAATTCGTGTTTTGGAATAAGGAATTAAAAATGCGCATTGTCATTGAGAGGAGTAAAAATGATAACTATAGAAAATATTAAAAAATGTACTATTTAGAAAAATGTTATTATTAAGCTACTTAAAATCATGTGAAAAAATATTTTCAAAAACATTAATAATATTGTTGAAACAATGAGCGTGTTAAGTTAAATCGTGGATCACCCGATATATGTATTTTTAAGTATATAATATAATTATACATGCGAGTATGCGCGCGCATCGCCTACATATATGTTGACAGTACTATAATGGTATTGTTATATCGATATATTATTATTATAGTATAATGTTTATGACGCGCTGCGATCGATTAACGACGAACATCATCGTTATGACGTATATATATATATATATAAGTGTACTTACGCAGTGGTCTTTAGTAGTTACAATAGTTACGGTTATAGCGTTATAACAGTATTGACTGCGGTACAAGTGACGTTGTGATTGTACAGTAGGTATATAGCTGCAGCACACAGCAGCAGGTTGCACCGAAGACGGGCGCATCGCAAATATTATTATACTACACCTGTGTTCCATAATAACATTTATATTATCAATAATTATAGTTGTTTAATAGCCAACGGGAATCGTATCTAATTTGTTATAAGTTTACAACTTATAACTGTATATATCGCTGTCGTAACAATCGAAGTTATCTTTTCAAACGACGGACACTCTAAGTGAGGGTTTTCATCCCTTACTAGAACAAAAAAATAAAAGGGTTTACCTCGGTCAACTCGATTTTTTTAACTCGAAATAAATACCTTGAACTTTTTGCTGGTCCCTTGAATTACCTATTATTTTATATTATCCTTTGATAACTCGATATTTTTTACCAGTTCCTTCAACTTCAAGTGAACCATGTCGGACTGTACCAACTTTCTGAGCGACATCGATTGAACTAATAATTTAATAATAATACGTATTGGATAGTTGTGGTTACTAACACTGCTATAATCCAAATTGTTTTATGTTCTGTGAATTATTTCGCAAACAATTATATATTTGTACATAAAAATAACAGTATTGTAATAATTATGTTTTTTTAGAATATTTACGTCTGTAGACGAGAAATTTTTCTTCTCCCAAAAAGTGTTGATGGACACAAAAAGCAAATTAGGTAATATTGTAAGACCTGCAATACATTCGGTCTAAAATGTTCAGTCATTATTCAGAGAGAAAAAATACGATTACAATGGGTGTACCCACATACTTGCCGCTTATATTATTATACATGAATTATACAAACTAAAAATATGAGTATATATTTCCCATATTTCTTGTTCTTACAACTTTTAGTAGGAACATACGTATGGTATAACATGTCTGTTAACACGTAGGTATTACCACATAACTTAACCAGATTCATTGACATTAAGCTTTTATATGCCTATACTTATACCAGTTATACCTAGTAAAAAACAATTCTTTTAATCCTCAAATTATAATTTATTGTTATATATAATGATTTATTATGTAATAGGCACTTAATTGTCAATTGTTCCGTTCGAATAGGAAACCGCCAAGTCAAAGAGAGTACCTATTGGGTTTTGCTCATAATTCATCCCAGTGCAAACACGCTTTTGTCAAGTGGAGCACAAGCTGCACTAGTTGGCTGCATATAGTGTGTTTATAGAAGCACTATTTATTGGATCAAATAATTCGAAAGCATATTAATTGTTAGTAAAACGTTTGTTAATGATTCGCGTGGTTTATTATATTGTCTATTGATGGGTACTTATAACAAGGTACTTGATGATGATATTTTGTTTTTTTAGACAGTGAAAAAAAGTAATATGATGATATCAATAATATAAAATATCGTATGCCGTATGTATACAAGTGCGGTGTTCCATGAAAATTACAGTCACAGTTTTGCGATTCCGCAATGAAAGTTTCTATATTAATAATCAGAGTAAAAATACGTCTTGTTGGAAAAAATTATTACGAAAAAAAAAATTATAATTATCATGCAGTGATAACAATCATTTTTTCATTGAAATGATAATTGCGTATTAATATTGCAATATATAATATTGTAGTGATCACAAGTCTCCCGATAATAATAATGATACTACTACTAATAATAATAACAACATTTAATATGAATGTAATTTACTGTGTATTAAAATGGTCTATTTCTCAACAATTGTTATACACCGAGACATTGCACAGGAAACATTATTCAAGAGCATTACTATTTTGTCGGATCGTTTAGTCTTGGGAAATAATTATTTATTGTATAGTTATGATTCGAATCCGGATGTTTATGACCTAGAATAATAGTATGCAATAAGAATTAAGAAAAAATATATATAAAATAACTGCGCAAGGATGTGTGTAAAAATGAAACGCCGTGTTTATATTATACCTAATATACTTTTAAATAAATCAATATAGAGACGAGCTGCACGATCGGTTGAAAAACAAAAACCGCATTAATAGTAATAAAATATAATAATATAATATTTTCTAGTAATAATTACATTTTTTTACGTGTATATATATATATATGGTTACACACGATAACTATAGTTATACGATATATAGACAAATAACATAAAAACGTCGATACATTGCTGACACCTGTTACCTGCATATATATTATTATATATGTGTTGTATTATAGAAATGCGCACGATAATAATTTTTTTTGACGTTAAGATAAGCCGAAAAACCAAACGAAGCATCGCAGTCCGAAAAGTATTTGGTAATAATCATAATATTAGGTAGGTATAATATTTTTAGAATGTACATAATATAATAACGCTTCGCTCGCGGTTCCAATAGAATATTATATAGATAACATTCGTCTGCTGCGGTAGACGCTGCAGTACACACATTCATAATCATAAACGATAATATGTCGATATTATAATATTAATTATAGTCCGAGTACGCGAATTATGATAATTATTAATTGATATAGATAGACTATGGCGAAAAGATAACGGTTGATGTAACGATCGTACCGATTATTGTTATGCCGCGACAATATCGCTTGCACACAAATACAATCTTCAATGACAATATTATAATATGAATTATAAAATATATAATATGTATAGGTACGACAACTATAAGTATTTAGAAAATGACGTACAGCCTCGGCGTGATGTAACGATTTTCAGTCCAAGTTCACTCAGACGATTTTTCGGAAAATATTATCTGAACACTAAACAATATTGTAGTGCTCACTTATTTTCCGCAAAATATTGTGCAATACACAGCGGACAACGATATTATGGTACTATGCAGTTATGGAATGTCTACCTATAGAATGCACTTTATGCGTATTACAAGGTGTAACAGAATGAATTGACAATCAACATGTTTAAAAAAATTCAAAATAGCTAATTTGTAAGTCTAAACATGTTTAGAAAAGAGTTGATGTTAAAAACGTTTATTTAAGTCGATTAGTTTTTTAAATATCAGTATCTTTTTTTAAGTAAATTAAATAACTTATTATAACTTTTTTCAAAATATTTATTTTTGGAATTTTCCAAAAAAAGTAAATCTTAAATTATTCACTATCTATATAATTTGTATACATTTTTTTATACGTTTAACTAATATTCATTTTTCATTTTTCATTTGTCATGTATTTTGGTTACACACTATATATTATATACCTATATGCTATAATATAATAGGATATACCTTACTGAATGTAGGAAATAATTGTGTAATGAGACTACGATACTCATTGATTTCCGGTGATACTTCAAATACCATTTGAATTTATCACCCGTTTGGCAACGGTTGTACGTGAATATAGTAAAACACTAATAACCATCTAATAGCGTTCGTGACGAGTAGCACAAAATTAAATCTATGACTTACGCTTCTCGAAACACGCATTTTATCATCATTCATCACAAAACTGGCTTAATTATCTGCAATTTTTTTATTTCAACTTTTTGAAATTATGTTTAGGCACTTTTATCATGTATGATCACCAAATGTCTTCTATTTAGTAATGCGATTAATCTGCAGAGCCCAACCCGCGGGCTATGAGCCACACATAACCGCCCTCAATGGTATTCATCGTGGCCCACCGTCTTTCGAATTTCTAAAACGAAACAAATTATTTTTTGGAAAAAAATGTAAAATTATTTCAAAAGACGATTGTGTTATTTATTTATGAATTCTTTAAGCATAATATATTTCAAAAAACGCAATAATTGTTAATCATACTAAAAAATATAAATGAAAAGTTTGGTTTGAATTTCATTGTTCAAATCCTTAAAATTGAATAAACGTGTCAATCTGTTAATCGAGATCTATGAATGGATTTT